ATGGTTATCTCTAATATTTTGGTCAATCTCGTTTAAACTAATTGTGGTAACAAATATAAACTCAAATCCATTCAAATTAGAAAAAATGTTTGTACCCCTATTTCTAGGTTTATCTCCATAAACCAAGGTTTCAAGATTTCAAAACATGTGGTGAAGAATAAGAATTATAGGTTTTATATGTTTTAACCTCCTAAACTAATTTTACTTAATTTAATATTATTTTTTTAACTCAAACAAATCACAAAAAGATATCCCTTTCTGAACTCCATCTACTCTCTCTTACCCAAACAAATCATAGTAAAATATCCCTTTTTGAATCCCAATCACTAAATTAACTTTTTTGTTTTACCTAAACAAATCACAAAAAAATATCCATTTATGAACCCCACCCACTCACTCTCTTTGAAATTAACTTTTGTTTTTTACCCAAACAAATCATAGAAAAATATCCCTTTCTAAACCCCACCCACTCTCTTTTTATGGGGAAATTAACGGTAAGAGAGAAAGTGTGAGAAATTAGGGGAATATCGCGTGAAAAGAGAATAGATGGGGTTTAGATAAAGTTTTTTTCCTACTAATTGTTTGGGTTAAAAAAATAAGATTAAAGTGGATAAAGTTAGTTTAAGGATTTGAAGATCTAAAACCATTTCTATGTCTCAAGAGAGGTTTGAAACCTTAAGTCTATAGAGATATAAAACTTAAAAATAAAGGGTACGGAGACATTTTTATTCAAATTATAGTGGTAACAAACACAACTCATGTATATCTAAAAGCATGTATATCTTCTATTATATTTATAAATAGACCATTCCATCTCATATAAAATATAAGAAAGTGAGATAAAAACTTCTTTAAATTTGATTACCTTAATAGTTTATAAATATGTTCAATTTATATATTTTTCTAAACTTTAAAATTTATAATTACAGAAATGAATTTTTAAGTCATCTTTAAAATTTATGAAATTATAATTTTGTTATCATTTTTTTCCCTTAAATTATATCTTTCGATGAGCTTTAAAAATAAAGTAATGATCCCATAAGACCCTCTCGGACCCATATGTATAGGATCCGAATTAAACACTTTTAAATTTGACACAAATATTTAAAAAAATTATTACATAAGTACGAGACTTGATTTTTGTAGAGATATGTATCAAAATTCAACAGTGATTATTTAAAACCCTACTCACATTAGCGTTAGAGGGTCCCAAAAGATCATTACTACTAAAAACATTAAGATTGTCTCGTGATATCTGGCCTCATTTGGATCCGGGGCACCTAAGAAAAAAGTGTTACTGTATTTCATGACGTCATTTTTATTTTTCCTAAATTATTTGTGAGATAAAGAAAAAAAGAAAAGAAAAAGAGAAAAAAAGCGAGTGGGGCAACTCTTAAGCGGCGGGGCTCTCGATGACCGCGAGCGAGTATGGAGGAGACTAGAGAGAGTAAAGAAGCGGAGAGACAGTAAAGAAAATGCCAGGAATTTTAATAATATTTCGAAAGAACCCTTGGCTTTAAGAATCTCAAAGGACCTCACGAAATGACTAAATTGCGCCACCCTAACCTACATAATTTGTTTTTGATTTGGTATAGTAAACCATTTAAAAGGATCAACTTTTAATTAGTTCTAATTTATTAGTTAAAAAGGATTTGATCTAATGAAATTGGGTTGTTGTATTTATTTCATTGACTAAGCTGAAAAGTCAAAAGAAATATTTTCGAACTTCGTGACATACCCAAGCTATCGGATGATTATAAATAATTGTATCTTTAAACCAAAGATAAATTATCTCATTGTATACCTTCCTTTAGTTGTGACCATTAAAGTGGACAAATTTTTTTTTTAAAATTAGAAATTAAAGTGGACAATTATTACTTTCAATCAATTTAATTAGGAAATAGTTTGATAGAGCTGCAGCCCCATCAAAATAAGTAAAGCCTCAAAATTGCAATTCATGTATTGGAAAACTTTGATATCGATCATCTCAGCGTGATTATTATGGTGATGAAAATAAGTAGGTTTTCAAGTTCTAATGTATATTAATAAATTGTCTAGACCATCAATTTTTTCCTAAACATAAGTGGTCATAGATCTGCAAGATTTGCATATTTTTTTAGTTTCAAAATTTATTGTTGGTTTTGAAAATTGATTTTAGAGTTATCAAGAAATTTCTATTGCCGAAAGTACTTTTTAAACGAAGATTTGAGGTGAAGCTTTATTTGTTTTCATAAAGCTTAGGCTTTCATACATTTAGTTAAGGGTGAGGTTTATATAAGGCGTCATTTTTATACTAGAGAATGAAGGTGTACCTCTAAATTTTATCTTGCAATGCAGAATCAAGGTGTACCTCTAAAATTTATCTTGCAATGCAAAATGAAGGTGTTCCTCTAAATTTTATCTTGAAATGGAGGTCTCGTGATGGAAAGCTTGTGATGGCTTAAGAGTCTAGTTTTATTACTAATATCTTGATTTCTCTTTTAGACTCACTTGGTTGGATTTCAAATACTGCATTATACATCTATTCTTATTTGAGTCTCAAAATTTTTATTTTTCTTCACAATTGATAATCAAAATTCCTTGCACTTTTGGGTTATTGACGTCACCTTTTCTATTGAGATCTACCCATTCATATTCTTCTTGCTCTTATTCCAATTACAATATATGAAATAAATCTAGTAGACATTGTTCTACTACTTTGGTAATGCGCTCTACTAGATCTTCTACAAGTCTCTCAAATCTTTGATCCAATCGCTGCAACCGCTGATTAATGACACGAACTTCGTTTTGAACATCTTCCATAGGTAGATCACGGATCTCAAGGCTCTCCATATCAGCACGGATTTCAACTCTGATACCAATTGATGCAAGGAGAAAATAATAACTCGAAAAAAAAAAAAAATGGTTAAGAGGATATACCATTTCTAAAAGACTGCAAGGGAATTCACCCCAACGAAAGAATATACTCTCTCCAGAAGGGAATCCAGTCCAAAAATGATCTATCAACTATACTCAAATCATTTTCTGATCTGTTTATAATGATGGATATCTTCGTTTTAAATACACTTCAAATAAAATAATAAATAACTAAAAAAATCCTAAATAAAATAACATCTCTCTCTAAGTAATATGCACTTTTTGTATCTTTCTCTCAATTTGTTTTCCCAATTTTCTTTCTCAATTGTTTTTACCTATGTTCTCGTACTAGCTTTCATATCTTTCCTTTATCCTTCTCATATCTAAATCTCTTATCTTTTTCATAATTAAATCTAGCCCTCTATAAATCTCTTCCATAAACGTCTAAGTAAATCCCATATCAAGAATACATTTCCACATATATTTCCCATCTACTCCCCTAAATTAACAATACCTATCAAAAAATCATCCATCCTCCTATGTAACTTTATATTTATCCTAGTTCTTTTTCTATTCTTAATTAAAAAAAAAAAAACTCTAATTTTTATTTATATATTTCATTTGAATTTCGCGGAAAAATTACCCAAAAAAAAAAAACTCGCCGAAAAAAAAAATGAGTTGGACGTTCACTGTACTCCACTTGTAAATATTTCTTTGAAATTTGCTCAAATTTATAAGTGAATAGGGACCGACCACGTGGAATACTTGGTATTTAATGAGGGCAATGTGGGGCGTATTGTCAGATTAGCGAGGACAGAATTGGCCTTGAGCTAACTTCGAGTAAATCTCAGTAAAAGTGAACTCGGAAACTACACATTAATTGAACGCAGCAGTGAGAGAGCCGTTGAGTTGTTGTATCATTTTCTCTCTCTACATCCTTCACCCTATTTTCTCTCTCTAGCCTCTACACTTAGATCGTATTCTCTCTCTACTTACATCTTTTTGTCAAGGGCTTGCGTCGGTCGCCTCCGGGTCGGCCCATACCCGACTCAGGTCTAAGGTTTTCCATTTGAATCTCTGACTTGGCATGGGTCCGGGATGTAGAATTAAAAAATTGTTTAAAAAAAAAAGTTCAAAATTTTCTTTTATTTATAAACAAATTTATCAAATATTATTAATTTTTTATGGGTACGGTTTGTATAGAGCTTAGGTTCTGAACAATCAAAGTAAAACACACCTTTAAATAGTATCAAGAAATGTTGTTTCAATATTAGAAATTTTTGTGATAGCCTTAAAATATATTTTCATCTTTAATTATAAAAGCTTTAAAAAGAGTTTAGATCGACCAGATCTATGAAAATCTTGAAAATTGACGATTCAAAAATACGTTACAAGATGCCCTATTTAAAAAACTTGAAATCCATTTTTTTCTTTTGTCCATGCATCTTGATGTCGAGATGATCAATTTGAGAATATTTGGGTATCAAAACAATTGCTTTTAGTGAAATTTTTAAGGTGAGCTCTAATTTGACACTTTAGAGCCTTGCCTCTATATAAAATTTTTCCATATATAAATAGATATATAGGATTTATAAATAGCAAAATTGTTCATGCGGGGAGGACCACATTTCTACATATGTGGTCCAGAAAGCGTAAAGCATCGTTCTTAAAGATGGATGCAAGTAAGCGATCCATCTAAAAGCAATAGAAACTAACCGTCTAAATAGTTTTAAAATAGAATTATTATTTATAGTTTTAAAAATTGATATATATTTTTTATATTCATGATGTCTATGTTAAAAATTACATGCCTTTAAAATTAAGTCTTAAAATCCGCCTCAAAAATAAATTTATTAAGAACCCGCGTTTCTACGTAAGCGGCCCTGACCTCGTAGAAACTAGGTCATTGTAAATATGTATGTGTGTATAGATATGTTCAGATCGAGTTTGGGACCTAGACCGGACAAGAATCCTATTGGGGTCTAGGATTTTTTACCCATACTCGTATGGCCCTTCATTATGCCTGGAACGGGTCGACCCGACGCGACTCGATCACGACCCTGATCAAACCACCGTGTGTTAATTAACAATACTGGTTGACAAATAATAGGTTCTCTCTCTACACTTGCCATGGTATTTATTTGATACTTTCTCTCTCTAAACCATATTCTCTTAGCTCTTGCTCGTACCCGAGAGAGCGTGGACACGTCAAAATCCATACCGCCCTTTTCTCTCTCTCGCTCTCCGCTTTTTTTATTCCGCCACTTTCCGGCCAAAGCAGCGGCGAGGAAATGCGTACTTCGGAAGCTTTCGCGGTGGCGATGGTGGTGCTCTGCCTGTGGAGTACGAAAGAGGTGGCGGTGGTCTGTGGGGCAAGCTGGTGTATAGCGAGGAGCAACGGGGGGGAGCAGGCTTTGCAGGCTGCTCTGGACTACGCTTGTGGTATGGGTGCGGACTGTGCTCCAATACAGCCCAATGGCCTCTGTTATTTGCCCAATACGATGCAGGCTCATGCTTCATATGCAATGAATAGTTATTACCAGAGGAAGGGAAATGCTCCCGGGTCTTGTGATTTTGGGGGAAATGCGGTGGTCGCCATGACTGACCCAAGTGAGCTTTTCCTCTGTTTCTCTTTCTATGTTCCTCTAAAAATGTTTTAGAGAGATTTAACCTCTCTCTTTTTGTCTCTGTTTTCGTCTCTCTTGCAGCAGTCCGCTCTGTTTAAAACTGTGAGCTTTTTCTCTGTTTTGTATATGCATCTCTCTAACCCATCCACCATATTTTATTTGCATGTGTCATTAAGTTTTATAGATTTTTGATAGTGCTTTTACCCCTCTCTCTCTCTAAAATATTATTCATTGAGCAAACCTGTGTAATCACCCAGTACTTTCTTTGTTGTGTATTTTACCATTTCGATTCATTTATTTTGCAGGTTATGGATCATGTGTTTACCCCTCTTCTGCTAGGTGGGTATTTCATGGCTTATAACCGACTCTCTCTCTAAACTTGACATGTATTTTATCCCTCATCCCTTTGTTTCTCTCTCTACCAGCACCGCCGGAGGGTCATCTGTGCCGCCCCCACCGCCCGGAACAGGCACAGGAACATCTCCATTTTTTAACCCCCCTCCGGCCACTGGAGGAACAGGAACAGGGATTGGAGGAGGAGGGATTGGGGGAGGTGGCCTCAACAACCCGGCCTTTGGCCCTCCCTCTGATGCATCGCCACCACGATCTTCTGCTCTACTCTATTGCACCTCTCTTTCTCTCCTCGTCCTTATCTCTCTACTCAACTGGATTTGAAATGAGCTCCTCTTTCTCTCTCTATAGTACAGACAAATCTCCCAATTTTGGCTCTGAAGTTTGTGGGGACTTGTCTCTTAGCTTTTGGATTTGGATTGTGGTGGTTGGATTATATGAGGGGCACAGGCGTTTGTATTTTTGACAGGAATTGGAAAGGGTTGCATGACTGCAAATGTGAATGAAATTATTGTACTTATAGCCCATACCTTCTTGTTTTTTTTTTTAAGGGATGTATATAAAGAAAGATTGTAAATGATCCTATAGGACCCTCCGATCCTATAGGACCCTCCGACCTTTTCGATGTGTGTAGGACATCGAAGGATTATTTTTAAATTTGGTACAAAAAGCTTAAGTCTGCAATAATTTTTTTAGAGATACATGTCAATTTTAATGGTGATTTTTTCGGATCCCACATATATGGGTGGGAGAAAATCCTATAGTATCATTACTTTTACAAAGATACTATTTACTTTTGGTACATGAGGTCGGTGGTTGTGAATATGTTATTGGCTAGATTCAAAATCCAAATAAAATTTTTCAATTTGGAACAATTGTGACCTTTTTGTAGTACAAACATAAATACCATCATAATATATAATTTTTTTATTTAGAATTATAGATTATTCATTTTTGATACAAGGAGGTCATTGACTATTTAACTTGAAATTTAGTGTTTTTAAATATATCATTGTTTAGGGGTACAAAGTCTAAATCAAAGTTTCCATAGTGCTTTATAGATTGTTTTTATTTTATTATATTTCATATTATATTTATTTTATTATGTTTCATATCTAATGGCTAAAAATGAATGTGACCCGTGTATATAAAAAATAAATAAGAAAAGTTTATATAGAGTTGAAGCTCTAACCAATCAAATTAGAGCTTATCTCAAAAATTTCATTAGAAGATGTTGTTTTAATGCTCAAATATCCTCAAATCGTTCATCTCGACATCCAGATGTATGGTCCTAGTAGTGTATTTTGTAATGTATTTTTAGACTGTGAATATTTAATATTTTTAAGTTTTCTTAGATGTATCGATCTACACTAGTTTTGAAGCTCTAAACTTTATAAATAAATATGAAAATATATTTTAAGGTTATCACCAAGATTTTTAGTATTGAAACCACATTCTCGATACTATTTAAAGATAGGCTCTAATTTGATTGTTTAGAGCTTAGGCATGTACATACCGTACTCTAAATGAATAGTATACAATTTCAAATTATTGGGGTATTACTATATCTGAATGGGTAATTTTTGTTCAAAAATTTTACATAGTTATTTTTTCTTTTTTGTCTTTATTTGTTTTCAAGCCACTGTGATATATACTAGGAGTGAGGACAATTGGGATGATTAAGAAACGGGACAATGTGTTGGTCCGAGTGGGAGCTTATTAATATGAGTCACCCATGTGAGGAGGCGTCGATTCTGACGGTGTTAAGTGAGGGATGTTGGTTTGGTTATAAGCACGATGCAATAATTCTCTAGGATTAAGATTATTATATATTGGAAAATTTTATATAAAGCCGAGGCTCTAAACAATCAAATTTGAGCCTATCTAAAAAATTTCATTAGAAGAAGTTGTTTTGATAATAAGTAAATATCTTCAAATTGATCATCTCGACATCACGATGCATGGACATGAGAAAAAAAATGGATTCCAAGTTTTAGAAAGTGTATTTTATAACATATTTTTAGACCGTATATTTTCAAGATTTTCAAGTTTTTATAGATCTGTCGATCTACATTATTTTTGAAGCTTTAAACTTTATAAATAAATATGAAAAATATATTTTAAGGGTGCCACAAAGATTTTCAGTATTGAAACCACATTTTTCGACAGCATTTGAAGGTAGGGTCTAATTTGATTGTTTAGAACCTAGGCTCTATACAAACTATACTCTTATCATTTTCACTTTCTTAATTATTTTCGGCCTCCAAGGCAAAGAAAAAGCTTGTTTTCTTCAGTAAGAGACTGGCTGTCTTTTTCTTTAGGTTGTTCACAGGTTGGAGTGGGTCCGTGTTGAAATTGGACCTGACCCATCTTCGTCCAAGGTGGACCTAGACCCAACTTGGACCTGATCCACCAGGTGGATTGGGTATGGGTCTATATAAAATAAAAAAAATAATATAAATATTTATAATATACAAAAAAATCGGATCAAGTTGATTGTGACCTGGACTATTCTAACCCTGTAAGGTCCAGAGTGGACTCAGACATGACCAAAATTGTCAAATATTTTAGTCCAGACCATGTTGGATCGACCTGCCTCAATTGCCACCCCTAAATAGAGAAGGGCCCCCACCGATGTAAATCTTGTTGCACTTTCCTTATAAAATATTATCATGTTAATTATGAGGAAGCAAAATATATGATCAAGGCCTGAACTGGGTTGCAAGGTTTCCTTCAAGATTTCCAATCCCATGAGGAAGAGGATCCCAATCTTATTTGGATAAAAGGACTCTTGGGTCATTTTCAGACCATTGCCATTAGAAACAATGGACTGGCAAGTAAGTGGAAAGGGTTAAACTCAAGCCTAATCAATACATATAAATGGGTTACATTTTGAAGATACTTTAGAGAGAGAAATGAGAGCAGCAGTGCCTCTTGGAAAGGGAGAAAATTCAAGAGTGATAATTTTTAGAGAAAGAGTTATAATAATTCAAGAGAACGAGAACCTCTAATGCACGAAACCTAAAGAAATGAATAGCCTCTTGGAAGGAGTTTTTTATCACAAAATGCTTGTCATTTCATTATTTTTGTGCATTGTTTGACTCTCTCTCCTAGACTGTAACTTGAAAAGGTGATCCGCTTTAAATCTTATGTTCAATATTTTCTTAGCTTATTTCATACTTTTAAGACACAGAGACGTGAAGTGTTTGATTTTCGTCTCAAAGGCTAAGACTTCGTTGTGTGTATCTACATTATTGCAAAATGGCTCAAATGGTGTCAGCCTTGTTGAAAATTGATGAAGCGCGCAGATAAAGGGTACCGTAAGGCTGGTGATCGCAGAGCCTGGATTTTTGGATTAGAAACCCTTGTTGCTTTTTTTTTAAAGAGCGAGAAAGAAAAACTGTGTTTACAGTGGAAGCTCTGTGTCCCTCTCTATATATATATATATTATTTTTTTTTTTTGCTATTTGCTTCTTCTCTCTGGCTTCCCATTTTATAGGGAGAAGAAAGGCTAACATTTATATTTATCTAACGGGTCTCTAAGAAAAAAAGGGTTTCCCTGATCTTAAGGATATTCATCCAAAGTTCATATGGATGTTGGACCATATAAACGTTGGATATAATATTTTGGATAATTACAATGAATATTGGATTTCCACAATTGTAGGCTAAGACACGTAAGGCCTCATAGTCATACGTGTCAACATCTTCCACTTGGCTATGACGACCGAGCATAATAAGCGACATGCATACTCCCACTTTTGAGTATGACCTTTAAAAAAATATCTTGTTATGAGATTTTTCTCACGCTTTCGTGGATATGCTTCTTATAACAAATATTTATCATGAGGATTTTCACGCCAATGCGGATTTGTCACTCATAAAAATTGTTTGACTTAAACATTTTTAAGTCTCAATAAGTTAGTGTGCTTAGACAGTAGTTCAACACTTGGACCATTTATTAATGGATCAACGATCGTATCTGATGAGGGCAACTAACAGTTACTTCACATTTCTCAATTACATCCAGAATGTAGTGATATTAGACATCTATATGTCTTCCTTTGGAGCTATTTACTCCACTTTGAATTAATTTAATTGCAGCTTGATTATCACAAAATATTTGGATCGGTCCGTCAATTATTTGCACTTTAAATCATATAAGCACTTTATTAGGACGGCGAAAGTACAAGCAGTGCTACATACAATGTATTATGCTTCCTGTGTGTACCTAGCTACACACCCTTGTTTCTTGCTAGACTAAGAAACAACTGCTCCTCCAAAGAGGAAAATATGTCATAGAGGTGAAATTACTATCGTCCTTATCGCCAGACGAATCTGCATTTGAATATTCTATAACTTCAAGCTTATCTACTTGAAAATACAATTTTAGATGCTTTGTTCCCTTAATGTACCTTAGAATTCTTCTTACTTCTTTCCAATGAGTTATGCCTTGATTACTTTGATATCTAATAACAAGTCCTACAGCATAAGTCAAATCTGGTCTTGTACATCTTATTGCATATACCAAGCTACCAATAACTTGTGCATAGGGAACGTTACACTTTTCTTGTCCTTCTACTTTACTCCCTTTTCAATAGGACAAGACATTGGTTTACAATTTTCCATTTGAAATCTTTTGAGAACAAAATCGAGATATCTCTCTTGGCTCAAGCACAACAATTTTTATTTTTTATGTTTAGTTTTTTGATGCCTAGGACATAAGATGCTTCTCCCATATCTTTCATCTCATACTGAGAAGAAAGCCATGACTTAGTCTTATCAATCATTTCTAAGTCATTCCCAGTTATTAGGATATCGTCAACATATAATCAGAGTATTGTGAATTTACTCCCACTCTTCCAGACATACACACAATGACCCAATCTATTTACTTCATATCTCATATGTAGGATGGCATCATAAAATATTAAGTACTATTGTCTTGAAGATTATTTTAAACCATATAAAGACTTATTTAATTTGTATACTTTATTTTCTTGACATTTAATTATGAAGCCCTCAGGTTGCTTCATGTAGATGGTTTCCTTTAGTTCACCATTCAAGAATGCAGTATTTACATGTATTTGGTAAAGTTCTAAGTCATAGTATGCAACGATTGATAAAATTATTCTAATACATATAAACGTTGCAACTGGGGAATAAGTGTCAATATAGTCGACTCCTTTTCTTTGGGTAAAACCTTTTAACTTAGCTTTAAATTTATCAATTGATCCATCAGATTTTAACTTCATTTTAAGTACCCATTTAAAACCTATAGGTTTCCTATCTGATGATAAATCACATAGATCCCAAACTTTATCATTCTCAATAGAATATAATTTTTCTCTCATGGCATTAAGCCATTCTTGAGATTCTTATGATTTCACAGCATCATTGAAGTCAACAGGGTCATGGATTTTATCTAGGTTAATAGAGTTGTTTATCTCCTCATTCATATAGACATAGAAATTATAAATGTATGATAGAGGAGCTCTAGACCTCTTTTGACCACTTAACATTGG